TACAGGGTTTCAAAAGATAAAAAATTAAGTAAGAAGATTACTATTTACAACAGAAATTTTCATAGAGCCTTTGTTACACCTCTAAAAAGCATATATATTCCTGTTCAACAGAAATTGGAAGTCAAGCCAGTGATGCAAAATGCCTTTTGCTTCTTACACTAGAAAACAAATTGAACTGTGCAAGATAGAGCAAGATATATTCCATGAGGTGTTTAGCCCTGGAAACTGTACTAGCATACTATAAGCATCCAGGGAAACTGCTCCTTACTCAGGCAGCTTTAACTTTCATTAATTATTGACACTATACAAAGGACTTCAATGGCTTTTTTTTTTCCATGGTTCTGCTGCTTCTCATGCATATTGTGGGAGCTCCTTTCCCTGAGGATACAGCAGCTTGGAAATGTGCTTTGTCCTCAGCATTCTTTCAGTTTACCTTCATTCTTGAGTAGGTTCTTACGAAGTTGTAGCTTTTCAAAGGACAAGAACAAGTCATTTAATGCTAACTGGGATATACTGTTTATAGAGTAGGTCTCAGCAAGTTCAAGTCAACGACACTCAAACCTCTAACAACAGTCAATCAGCTATTCAAGTACTTCAAGGACAATGTCAGACTTCACCTTCTGTAGGACACAGATTTTCTGGAGTCTGAAGGAAGTGCTTTCCTTAGCTTCCAGTTACAGGCTTACATCTGAGCTAGTGTTTTCAAAACTCTGCTCTTATGTCAGCTATTTTAACAGGTGAATTTTGCTAACACACAAAGATTGATTTTCTACATTTTGTTTGGAATTAATATATCTGACATGATATCAGTTTAAAGACTAGTACCAAAATTAATTTCTTAAGGTTGGTTTATAGTAAATTCAATTACAAACCCAGCACTGTGTATAAAGGTATGCGTGAAGGACAAGTTAACAGAAATTAAAAGGAGTTTAAAAAAAATGGCTGAAAGATGATGTTGATTTTATCCTACCACCTGAACTACTCTGGCAGCTTGTAGTCTGTACAGTTTGTGTTCAAACAACATGGGGATTGGTCTTACAGCATGTTTAAATTGGCATAATTTCAATTAACAGAACGGCTCTTACCTTGAAACAGCCTAATGGTGATTTTCACTGCCCTAATGCCTCCAAATCATTCCAACATGCCCTACCTGCAGTATGATACACACTGATATTTAGGCAATGGTTTCCTCCATTTTCAGGGAATGTTTTGGATGCAATTAGCTAAAGGCTTTCTGGACTGTTCAGACAAGATGGAGATCCTGTGGCAGGGCCAGGCTGTCAGGCAATAGATGCCAGCACTGGAAATAATTTACTTTGGTAAATGATACAAAGCAGTCTGGACCAGTAACATCCATTACCAAACACCTATCATCTTCTGTAACACTCGTGAGAACAGAGTTTTAAATATGTCTGCAACTGTACATCTTGTGGGATCAACAGAATAGTCTTTACTGAAGAAACTCTTAAAACCCAGTCAGAATTTAATGGCAGGCCAGATTTCACTGACACTCTGTGAAAGCTTCATCTATTTAAACACAGTTTATCAGTTATGAAGATTATCAGAAAAATACAGCACAAGCAAGCCCATCAGGAATAGAAAGGCAATTTACAGTGAGGAGGTGTACAGGGTTCAGGAACTTGGTCACAGTATGGAGAGGCTGCGTGGGGCCAGACAAAGATATCTGGTTTAGGATGAGGATGAGGAAGATGAGAAGATACAAACAGTTGGAGAGGAGACTCTGTTCTTGAGAGAGAAGATGAGGAAGTATCAGAGGCTAAAAAGTGAAACAAAGAGAATGATAAGGGGGTGGGGGAGGGCAGGAGAGAAATAAGATCCAACAGGATTGAACGGACTCATGGATGGCAAAAATGCAAAGCATTTGTTTCACTATTCAGTAAGATGGAAATGGCTTCTACATAAAATAAATACCACTTCTTCTGAAAGCAACAACAACAACAAAATACCCCTTTTCTTATATATACTCTCCTTCCATTCTAAACTAGATTCAAAAAACCAAATTAAAATTTTTCCCTGTATATTCTAGTGTATACATTAAAAAAATATATTTGAGGGGAGACAAAGACCAAAGTCTAAAACTAAGGTAATCATAGAATCATCGAGGTTGGAGGAAACCTCTAAGATCATGGAGTCCAACCATTAGCCTGCGATATTGCTTCTTCAGACGATAAACTCAGTGGACTGGAAGCAAATTGAATAATCTGTTTTGAAAAAGGTTGAATGCAACTTATTTTAGCCAAATAGCCAATGAGTGTCTAGTGATTTGCATGTGCATATATCTGCCTTTGGATATGAAATGAGTCTGTCTCAAAACTTTTTTCCCCACCTCTCTATTTATTTCCTTCATCAATATATACCAATCTGGGCTCATGCCACTCATGGCAACCACCTGAAACAGAAGGCAAACTTACAGTAAATTTGACATTCTTCTTGATCAGGGCATTAGGATTAACAGCCTTGCCTTGTAAGAAATCCACAATACACTCTTTTGATACTTCACAAGTTACACAAATTTAAACTTGAATCACTTAATCATTGTGGGCTTGGTATGAGCTCTATATAAAGTAGTTTTTTAATAACTTTTTTTTTAAATGACAGCTTATTTGATACATCTAAGAAAAAGAATGTACACTCATTACAGTTAGATTTTTTAAAGGATTTTAAAATTCAAATTGCAAGTAGATAAGTTTTCAGATTTGAATTTTAGCTCTCATTTCTTGGTGCTCAGATTGACTGAACTCAAGACTAGACGGGCAAAGAGGATCACCATCATAAGTATTAAGGAAAGTTAGGAAGGGGAAAATTTCCAAATGTTCACATGTATGCACACATATAAACCCATTCACATGGTGGCTTTACACTGTGTAAATAGGAGGGGACCAACCGTTTCCATCCTAAGAGAATTTCCAGCAATACCTTTCTTGCATACCCCAATTTTAACATGTGGGTTTTTATTTGCCAAATTTCTGCATTTCTAAACACTGAGGATCCACAGGATTTGCACATGAGCTCTGTCAGCCCTATAAAGGTCTAAGATCTCAACTATCTATTGTTTCTATCATCTACTTATTGTGAACATATTTTATTGATGAGTCTGCTTAAGCTTCCTCAAATCTACGACAAGCTTGACTTCTTTCATTCTTATAGCACCATAACCTTTTAACTCCTGCAAAATTTTTCAATCATATTCTGGATGAAGGATCCTAGACAAACCCTGGATTTGGAGCTTTTATATATATATGATTATATAGGTACAGTAGATAACAAAGTTCTAGTCCTTACCAGAAATTGAGTGCTGGTATTGCAACAAGGCTTCTTCTGCTAAAATTAACAATGAAATAAAAACCCAATACCACTAAACAAAACCAACTCCAACTCCCAATTAAAAGGAAAAAAAAGACACCCACCCTCCACAATTATCTTTTATAAGAAAAAGAATCAAAAGGGGACCCCATATTTTTAATTTCCTATTTTGCTCTGCTTGACAGTAGAGATAAGTTCTAACAACACAGCTTAGATTCATAAAAAAAAAACCCCACAAATTGGAACCACTACAAAAATCAGAATGTTTGTAGAGATCATGTTTTCCAATCAGGATACTGGCTGCAGAATTTGAATCTGGCGCAAGCTTCTTGAAAAGCTCACTGTTTTGGATGAGTTGAGGAATATGCAGTGTTTAAAATGCACCAATTCACTATGCTCTCAAGTGTGGCAGATATAAAATGGGACACCCTGAAGGTATAAACCAAGATCTTTGTGCTCCCATTAGGAAACAACAAACAAACCCCCACAACTAACCACAAAAAAACCCCTTCCACAACACCCATCCCCAACACGCACTTTTTTGAAGCCATAGAATTTTATCTATAGCTATGTCTATCTATATATGTATGTGAAACCTTTAAAATCTAGTTATGTTCTTAAAAATCAAACAATGAGCTACTCTAGAACATAGAATGGTCACCATTGAATGATATAATGTTATCTTCCCCATTTTATTGATATGAACACAAGAAGACAAAAGATTCCACATTAGGGGCAGCAGCTAAATTATGCCATATCATATTGCAGTTCTTTGAAATCAGGTGACCTGATCTTTGCAACCAAAACTACTTGCACTACAGCAAGCACAGAACACTTCTACTTTACTTGAAATATAAAATTAGGTGAACATCCAATCCAATTTTAACTTTCAGAAGTTAAATACCTACACTGGATTTTTCTCTGCTACACAGTTCTGATATTAAACAGAGACATACATTACACACTTCCATGTATCTTAATTTATGGCTCAAGAGTACTCAAATTTATAGGGTGGCAAACTTTCTCTGTATCAGTTTGCATTGTAACAACTAAATATATTAATAAAAGCAAATCAGGTACTGTAAGTATTTACTGACATGTAACAATCTTTGCTTTCAATGTAGTGCACCTGTGCACCACAACGTTTTAAATGTATATAAAAACATCACAGTATACATGATTGATTAGAAATAAATCTTGCTTATAATGTCAAAGTTATGTTTGCAGTAAGCCTACCCACCCATGTCAATACATTTTAACATCTATTCCAGATTTTAATTCATTTAATTAGCAACAAAGTCTTCATTTTTTCAAGATAAAATATTCTCTGCAATTTTTCTCATTTACCTTTCTAAAAAAATTTGCATGTACTGAACGGACAGAAGAGCACAGAACTTTGGCAAACAGGCTAGTTTGTGTGCTAATTTTTAGCCTTTGCATAAGAAAATGACACTAAGCTCAGCAAGATCCATACTATAGATAGTTTAATTTGCAGAGAACATGGTCAGTAAGTACTTCATAAATACAAAATAAAAAAATCTTATATGTCTATTTGCACTTCCATGACAACAATGAAAAAATAACTTCATTTTGCCACATAAAACAAAAACACTAATGCAAACTCTAGCTATAGCCAGACCCTTTAACCTATTTTATTGTTCAAATGCAGTTCTTACCTGTCTCAGGATCACTGAAATCTGGCAATGTAATTGTGTTCAGCTGTCGTCTGTCAGCAATAGCTCTGTCTAACAGGCTGCTCCCACGTCCAGAATCACTGTAATGAGGTACAGAAAGTGTAAGCTATTAAAATATACAATTATATACTGATATACAAGTTGCATGCTGCCCTACTCCCACAAAGGTTCTTGCTATAAAGGTTCCTGCCATGACCAAATTTAGTACCAAACACCACTAACCACTCACGGTGCATTAAGCCAGTTGTATTTAAACAGAATTAAGCTGAGCAAAACTAAATCCGTATTTACTTCAGCAACGCTGTTTTCATAATTAATACAACCACAAAGGGAATACTGCCTTTTAATTTGATGCATAACTAACACATCTACAGAAAGGATTTATTGTACCTGAAATATTTACATAACATGAAGCACAGCTATCACAGAGAGCCAAGAAGTAAGTTTGAAAATCCACACTTTTCCCAGGCTGAAGAGAAATACTAAACTCAGAACATCTAATTTTAGGTAAAGGTGTTATAAAGATGCCATAAATACATTTCACATAAAAAGGCATCACAATTATCTCTAGAGCTTTGGGATGGGCTTCTTTTCTTTTCTTTTTTTAATATAGGCACACATACATATAAACTGCCTAATGTTGAATTTGATCCTAATAGCATAGTAGGAACATTTTGAACACTTCTAACATGCCACGTAGATCACACAATCAGAGTTATATCAAACAGTGAATAAGGAGAGGGAAACCTTTCTCCTTCCATCATGACACTTATCCACAGTTCCTGTCCATTCCATCCCTAATTTGATTTTAATGCACTACCAGAACTTCAAGAAAAGACTTGAATGTCAAGATAAAAAAGAGCAGTAGAAACAGATGCAAAGTAGTCCTGGTTAATCTTTCCATTTAGATGTTCTTGAAGGAGAATGGTGACACCAGAGTTAGCAACCACTACTGTTTGAAGCTGACAGGGCCAAGAGTAAGTGTTCACAGTCACTGCTGATGTCTGAAGGAGGTATTACTTATCGTGTGTTTAACACGGCACAGTAGCTCTTAGCACAAGAATAACAACAACAATGAAGTAATGACAAGCCATGATTAGAGCCCTGATCTGTGAAGAGCATGTACCAGCAGAGATGGAAGGTGACTGTGCTGGAGTACTTGCAAAGGCTCTCTGAAATTAGCTCACACAGAAATTGTTAACTATTCTGCAAAGAACAGCAGTCTGATATTAAACTCTTAACCCCCTCTGCCCACACACACAAAACCAGAGAACTAAAATAAACCACCACCCACTAAGTCAGAAGAGAAATTTTCTCCCAGGTCCATGCTGCTCGTTCAGTGACTTTGAGTTGAAAATGATTCAGCTCAAAGCTTTCTGGTTGCTGATGTACTTGCTTTCTGCAACCTGAGTGATGCTCCCTGCTCCACAGCCCAGTGTCAGTCTGTCTTAATGTGCTGTGACTGACTCAGGTCCCTACCCAGGCTTTTCCTGCTACACCCTCCAAAGTTTGCTGCTCTGGACTGCTCACTAGCTCACTAAGGAGGGAAGCAATTTTGCCTCTTCTGACATGAGGTCAACTCTCTCAGTTGAGAGATGCACATGTTTACACAACTGAGATCAAATAGAGCAGAGCACAAACTGAACAGATATTGTTCCTCATACAGGTACACAGGTATCTGATGCCACTTGGTGCAAAGCTCTTCTGCTGTAGCACCTCTCATCCAGAAACTGTCAACCCTTCAAACAACCAGACAGCAGGAAATTCTGCTTGTCCTCCTCTCCACGTAAATGATAAATGTGTTGAATGGCACCAGCACGGATTTCTGCTAAGCGGCCTTCTCATTTATTTCACAGCTCATCTAAATATATACATTCACAAAAGCACTTTGGAAACCCAAATAGGACTATAACAACTTAATGCCTTTGAAGAACCTAAAAAGGTTCAAAAGCAAGACCTCCCTTCTTTTTTTCCCTTAAAAAAAAAGAAAACGTGACTCCCCAGCCCTGGAAGTGTTCAAGGCCAGGTTGGACGGGGCTCTGTGCAACCTGGTCTAGTGGAAGGTGTCCCTGCCCATGGCAGGGGGCTTGGAACTAGATGATCTTTAAGGCCCTTTCCAACCCAAACCATTCTGTGATTCTGTGACTTTGCAAGCACATTATATCCATCCATGTGACCTCTGACGCTTCTATAGTCTTAATTAATGTCTAGTCCTCTTCCATACTATTTAGTGAAAGTCTTTGAACTAAATTTCCACTACAGCAATCTCTCTACTAGCCAATATAAAAGACTCTAAAGCCCAGACTGGTAAAAAAACCAAGTACATTGAGCCCCCTCAAGGAGAATGGATGAGCTTCCCAGTCTCTGTAATCAGACCTCATCACTCTGGCATACCTCACTTCACAGAACCCTGGGTAGTTCTACATGACCTTCAACTGGTGTCTTTGCACTTCAGTCTTCAGATTCCCAGAGGATTAGTTTGTTCATATGAAATACCAGACCAAGTAAATGCAGGACTGCTGACCTAATATTGCCCTGAAAGGCTACTGAGCAAGGTAGCAAGTGGCCTAGAATTGTTCAGCATCTTACCTTGGGTTAGTGAGATTGTAGCAGGATTTCCAGATCTGGAGCATGTGTTTACAGGTAAGGAGTGCTTCATCTGGGCCTCTGCACAGGGACTCCAATTTGACTTTTGTAAACAGTAATCTAGCGAAAAGGAAAAGAAACTTAAAAAAAGAAAGAAAAGATATTCCAATTCAAACAAACATTTTTAAAGATAGCCAACATGACATGAAACTGGAGAAAACATAACTTCAAATAAGTAATAATTTAGGTTATAGTTTAATGAAGTTATTACAATAAAGTCAAATACCTAATGTCATCACAGGAACACTGGTTTTTACAAGATGGCCTTTTCTATGGGACAGAGCAATAGTTGTCAGGATTTTTTATTTATTTTTTTTTTAAAGTTACAAGACAATGTAGCTTGGTGAAATATCAAGATCACTAAGAACTGTACTTCACATGTTGAAGAGTGACATCCATCCCTGCCCAGGGGTGAGGGAGGGATTGGAATTAGATGATTTTCAAGGTCCCTTCCAACCCAACTCATTCTGTGATCTATGTCTTCACTAAAAAAAATACAAATTTTGCATTAACTGGCTCAGGTGATAGTTATCTAACATATAACTCACAGAAGAAAACAACTCTGTTACTGATGCAGGTTACTTCCCTATGATATCACCTTGTATTACAGGAAAATGCAAGGGGCTGTACTGAAGAAAGTACCACTAGACCAGGTAAGATTTGTGGGAGGTAAAGTCAACAAGAAAATGTAGCTCCACTCTACATTACATCGACAAGTCGATGTTTGAATTTTGAACATTCTGAACATTTACAAGTGACAATCTGAAGACAGCACAGCATTCATCAAATCTGCAGCAAACTATTCGTAATGGAAGCAAACATGTTTGCTGGAAGTCACTATAAATTAATTCTGATTTCTAAGTTGACGTTTCTAACGGCAGCAAGACAAATAAAGTGCACAGCCTCATAAGATGACAACTGCATATTCCTTTTACATTCCATGTATCAAGCTGAAGGTTCTTTACAGAGATTAACTTAGACACCTTCCTAGATATTTAAAGAATATAAATGCAATGTGATGATAAAGGAGTTACTCAATTGGCATGCACATTTATAGGAGTCCCAGCACCTGGGAACAGATAATACACTAGAAAAATACTAATTTCAAAGCAATTTTGAGTAAATTGCAAGATTAAGAAGTACAAGGCAGGAGGAGAGTATGCATATAAAACTGTTAGCCTAGTTTCTGTTTTTAAACCCAGGTATACTTTGGCATTTTTTTCCAGTGCAACCTTAATCATACTAAGTGAAAAATTTGTGTGATTGCTCATATGGTTTGCGTGGGATGACTGAGAAGGGTGTAGAGGGTGGGCAGGTGTGAAAGCTCAGAAGTTTCTTATCCCAAATACAAACTTTGAGGCTGCTAATAGTAACTGAAAACTGCCAGAGAGTTTTCTCAAGAACAAGAAATTACATCAAGTGCCTCAGCAAGTCACAGTAGCTAAAGCTTTAGTGTTGCATTGAACATCCTCTGCAGAAACTACCCAGCATGTAAATCTAAAAATGAATCACACTACTTTAAGTGTACAATGTGTGTGCTGTGGGACTGAGGAGGAAACAAAAGGCAGGTCGCTGAGGTAGTTAAAGAAAATGAGCACCTGTAGATAAGCCAAGTAAATAAGGACATATGGAATCTCACTTGATGTTTTTATCAGAATGGAGAATGGAGTGATCAGTTACACTAGTCTAGCTTTCTTCCTATCAGTAAATCAGATCTGAGCACACAGGAAACTATATAGATAATTTAAAGTCATATTTAATTTGGCAGAGATGTTGTCTCCAGGGACTCATTTAACTGTGACTATATCACTGGAAGAAAAAAATGTCCAGGTCTGTCCATCATTTTACTGAAGAGAGAAGGAAAAACGACAAATAACATCCTCCTTCCCAAACCCAAAATCACAGGAATCTACCTCATACAATCCCTTCCCTGTTTCGCTGTAGGTGAAAGAAGATAGTACTTTTTACAGTTTGAAGAGCCTACAGAAGTTCCATTTTTTAAAATCTGTGATCATAAAGCACTTTATACAAATTATGGAATGTAACCCATTCAGAAGCACTGAGTTTGCAAGTCACTCTAGAGGGCCAATAACCATGATATATACCTTATTATGTACAGTTTACATATAGACCAAATTTACATCAACAACCTTCAAGCATTTAAGACTTCCAGGAATTTTGTGGCAGGGAGAAGGCACAGGGTCAGTAAAACACTAAGATTCAGCATGTAAGATCTAAAAGGAAAAATGGAGCAGGAGATAGAAAGGAAGGGAATCCGATTATTAAGAAATGACATAAAACACATGTACAAAACAGGAGGAGTCTGTGCAACAAAACCACTGGAACATGGGCTACTAGTGCAGGATTCAATGTTGAGAGTGCAGAAGACTTGTAAGAATTAAAGCAACACATCAGAGTTTGGTGCTTTTGGATGCATTTAGTACACATGCAACTGGCAGTCAATGGGACTAGATGGCTGCACATTTCTCAAAATACAAATAATAAAGTATGGTGGAAATATAGTCACAATTCTAATAAAGAAAGGCTATAAAATTGTATCTAATAAGGACAAAATAAACCACACTGGTGTGGGATTATCCACACTGAACCAAAAACAATCTTGAACAGAAAAGGTTGCATTATAAAGCCACACAGAGCAACTTCCCTGGATCCAGGAAATATTTTGACTATAAATCATAAAGGAACTAAGACACTTCAGAAAACTGAGATAGGATGTTAAAAACAGAATGAAAACCTGCCAACTGTACATAACTGATAAACGGGGGAAGGAAGCGAGGAAAGAGGAAAGAGGCAATGGAAAGTAGGAACACCAATGGTCTCCCAAATGAACTTAGTTCTTTCAAGCTCCCTGGAAACATGGCTGGAGGAACGAGCAGCTCAAGGACAAGTATGACCAGGAAGGTTTTAGAAACCATGAGGTAGGTCGTTTGAAAAAAGATTTTCTGAAAGGTCAGCTTCAAGCATCTGTGGAGACAAGTGTCCTGGCATACAGCCTGCATTACTGACAGAGAATTTTAAACCTTACAGGGACATCTTCACATCTGGTTTTGAAACACTATCGAAGAGGATGAAGAATGGATAAAACCTACCAAGTGATAGGATGATGAAAATTAAGCTATATATTTTATGAGCATCATGAATTATCTGTTTGTAAGAGTCAGAGGTTTAAACTACTGGCACACAGTGCCAGAGTAACCCTGACATGGTGGAACAGCACTCATGACTACGAGTGCAAGTACCAAGGAAAGGACAATATTGAAAAAGAAATGAAGATTAGGACAATGTGTGTCAGAGATGTGTCAAACGAATAAAGATAACAGGTAAGAACAGAAACCTGCTTGGGTCAAATCCTTTGAGGAAGGGAAGTAGGTAAACCAGGTTTTTTTGAATACAGAATAGGGCATTTGTTCCAGCATCAGTGTTTGACATGGATGCAGATCTTTAATGTTAGCTAAAAATAAAGTGAATTGTATCATTTTTGGAGACTAATTACCCAGACACAAAATGGAGAACAAATCAAACTCTTAAGTGGAAAGGCTTAGTTATTCTTGGAGCTAATAGCTGATAAATTTACGAAATAGCTACTGAAGCAGCAAATTACTCCATTACTTTATAGACTGTTCTCACTGACTAATGAGGACATTATAAAACAGCTGCTCATAACCTAATCCATATATTACTGGATTTTTATTTAAATGAAGAATGAAAAATCCCAAATGGGTTTATAAGTAGGTCTTTGAATTTCAGCGGCATACACCCAAATAAGTTGATAGCGAAGGTTAGCAAAGACATCTGAGATGCAGCAGAAGTCTGGTGTTTAACACAAAGATGCTAAAACATTTAAGGATCTGCAACTCGAGTTTAAGGGGTAAAACTCACTGTGTGACAAGCTAGTCATTGACAACACTGTGCAAGTACAATAACAGAAATATCCCACAGAACAGGAGATCTCCAAGAATATCTAGATCCTCAAGAATAGCAGGGGACAGACAAGGGAGAAAAAAAACTGGCACAGAAAGCCACAACTTAGGTATATAGTAAAAGGTAAAGCTAAACTACACCTGAACAGGTTATTATACAAAAAAGTTATAGTATTTTAAATGGATGTTTTGTATCTAAGTAGGAAATAAAAGAAAATGTGCATACTGAACAGTGACAGCAGGATGAATATTAAAGATATTCAGGAACAAACCCCTAACTCCCACCATAATCCTCACCTATGTTGTCTCAGATATGAAAACAATGACAAATGGAGAACAGGAACACTTTAAGAATGATTAAAGTTAATGCACTCAAAAATAATTCATTTCTCAGAATCATGGAAACAGTGACGCATAAGATTGTCCTTTCTAAAGTAAAAACTTGAAAGAAAATATCACTTCTATAATGACTGGGGAACAGCAACTGTATTGCCAATATTTTCATCAAGAGGGAAGGAGTACTAGATAACATCATTAATGGAATAAAGGGTTATTGTCCAAATTTAATAAACAGATTGCACCAAACAACCTGTGTAACAGTTCTTCCAAAGCAGAGCTGCCTAGCAGCTGGGTTCTCACGGTGAGACAGCTGTGAAGAGGCCAGATGCAATTCAGGAACGTACTTGTTGGAGCAGAAAGAGATGCTGCCATTGTACAACACCCCAGTGAGACCACATCTAGAATGTTGTATGTAATTCTCATTGTAACTGTTAAAAACACACACACGAAGAATTTCAGATTGGAGCAGCTGCAGAGAAACTATGTGAGGGTGATCTGTTGACTGGAAACTGCGGAGTATGAAAAATACCTCATTTAGTCAGTCTACCAAAAAAAAGTCAAGAAGAGGTACAAATTCTCTCTATTAATGCAGATGAGACAAGCACCATGAAGGGAAAAGAACAATTATCTAGAGGATAATGTTTCCAGAAAAATATATATAAAGGCCATTCAGACTATTAAAACATTGAAGATGGAAATTAGGTCTCAAGATTATAAACAAAATTATAGAAAAGACTGTTTCCTCAGTTTGCTTTGGATAGACTGCAGAAGAGGTGGAGC